GGGGGGGGGGGTGTCTCACCTCGTAGACCTCGTCCCAGGTGGGGTTGAGGTCGTCGTCGATGACGCGGCTGGTGAAGAGCTGGGTGCCCACGCGCAGCAGGGCGTAGGGGTCCGACTTGCCCTCCACCAGCCCCCCCATGAACCGGTCCTTGCAGCGCAGGTCCCGCGCGCCCTGGAGGTGCACCCGCACCACCCCCCGCGGGGGGGGGGTCAGTCGGGGGAGGGGGCAGGACCCCCGGGTGTCCCCCCCCCGACCCCCGGGGCAGCCCTTACCCGGGGCAGGGGGCAGCGGAGCTGGGCAGCCTCGGGCAGGTCGGGCACCAGCGGCACCAGGAGGCGGTTGGGCAGCACCAGGTAGGAGGAGATGGTGTCCATGATCATCGTGTCCGACATGGAGCTGGGGGGGGCACGGTCACGGGGGGGCCGGGGGGAGCTGGGCCCGGGGGGAGCTGGGCCCGGGGGGCCGGGAAGCCCCCGCGGCGGGATTGGGGCTCACCTGAGCCCTGGGATGTCCAGCAGGTTGGTCATCCCCGTCCAGTTGATGTCCAAGGTCTGGGGGGTGGGGTGGGGTCAGGTGGGGGGGCTGTGGAGCCCCGCCCTGTCCTGGGGGGGGGTTGGGGCTGCCGGTCCTTTGGGGGGGACGCGGCCAAACTCACCGGGCGCCGGATGAAGAACATGGTGAGGGCCCCCACGATGGGCACGTCCCCCAGGAGGGGCTCCAGGATGATCCGCAGCATCCCGTGGAGCTGGGGGGGGGGGGGGGGCGCGGAGGTGGGCCCCCCCCCAGGGCCGTGACCCCCCCCAGGGCCGTGACCCCCTCCCGCCAGCCCCCCCAGGGCCCCCCTCACCTGCATCCCCTTCACCCCTGCCTTGCAGAAGAACTTCTTCACCTCCACGTCGATCTGGACGTCACCCACGTAACTGCGGGGACAGGACATGGGGGGTCCTCACCCCGACACCCCCCGGGCCCCCCCCACCCCCAGGAAGGGGGCTGAGACCTGGTGCTTTCACCACACGGGTGGCTCCGACCACTCACCTGATGTTGAGGTCCAGCAGGATCTGCTTCTTGTGGGTGCCGGGGTGAGCCCGGACCCCCAGGACCCGGAGGGGCTGGGGGGGGGCAAAGGTTAGTGGTAGAGCCTGGGGGGAACCGGGGGGAGCCCCCCAAACCCAACCCCAGACCTACCTTCTCCCCCATGTCCACCTTGGTGAAGGTGAAGGTCTGCAGGTGGGTGTTGGAGGCGCGGATGGAGGGGGCCACGTTCTCCACCAGCAGCTTCTCCATGTACTGCCCGAAAAAGGGCCAGGCCTGGGCCAGGACCTGCCACAGCCAGAGGGACGGACACGGGATGGAGGGATGGACACCGGGAATGGGGGGATGGACACTGGGAATGGGGAGATGGACACCGGGAATGGGGGGACAGAGGCAGAGACGGGTGGAAGGGTGTGGGGATGGAGGGAGGGATGGAGGAAGGAGGGATGCAGGAGGGAGGGAAGGATTAAGGGAAGGATTAGGGGAAGGAGGAAGGATGGAGGGAGGGAGGGATGGAGGGATGCAGGCAGGGATGCAGGAGCGGGGATTAGAGGGATGCCGGGCGGGATGCAGGAGGGATGTGCGGGGCGGAGGGAGGGCTGCGCAGACGGCACAGGGTGCGGGGCCGGACGGACAGACGGACGCCTCACCTTGTTCAGCCATTCCGCCCGCTCCACATCCGGGAAGCTGACCTGCGGGACACGGGCGGAGGGGCCGTGAGCCCGGGGGGGTCGAGGGGGGCACGGCCCCTCCCTGCCCCGTGCCTCGGTTTCCCCGACCCGCCGGGGGGACCCCGCCCAGCCCCGTAACCCCCCCGGCCGGGCCCAAACTCTGCTCGTTCCGGGGGGGGCCGCAAAGGGGGGGGGAGGGCTCGGTGGAAGGGGGTCTCGAGAAAGGGGGTCCCCACCCCTCCGGCACCGCGGGGAGGGTTCCGCGCCCCCCCCTCCACCCGCCCCATCCGCGGCCGGGCAGGAAACGGCCCCCCCGGGCCCGGTGAGTCACGGCCCGGCCGCGGCGATGCCGGAAGGCCCCGGGCGGTACCGGGGGGGGTTCCCCCCCCGGGGGGAGGGGGCGGGGGGGCCCCGGGGGGGGGGGGGGGGGGGGGGGGTCACGGGGGCTCTCGGAGGGGCGGGTGGTGACCGGCCCCGGGGGTCCCGCACCGCCCGCAGCTCAAAGCGGGGCTCGGGGCGGCCGCCGGGGGTCCCGGGGGCTGCAGCGACTGCCCGGGATGCGCTGCCTTGGGCGGGGGTCCCGCCCGGCGCGGAGCCCAAGGG